AAATACTTCCATCAGTAGCATTTTAAAAATTTGAAATGTCAGTGTATTTTGATAACACAATAACGAAGACTATCACAGAAACAAGTATAAATTGTGATCGTCAAAGTAATAAGCATATGCATGTCAGAGTAACTTTGCTGTATTGAAACAGATTCTAGTGTTTACTGTTTCAAATGTGTGCTATAGTATCCTTATTCTCTCCTATTACAGCTCAGTAAACAATTTGTTTTCCAGGTCCCAACTGTAATTTCCACTGCTTTTATTGGTTTATAGTGCTAACTATCCACTGCACCTGAATATCCACTTGTTCTTTTGTTGCCCTGATAAAATATATTCCTTTTAGGGTACTAAATTTGGATCTTTCTTCTTTGAGCAGGAATATTCAACGAAGCAGCTGACCAATCTGGTGAATGTTTGCCTGGGATCCCATATCAATAAGAAAGCAAGACAAAAACTTCTAGCAGCTATAGATGATATAGACAGACCTAAAAGATAATGAACACAGCTCTTTTTCCTCAATGGCATTGATCCTCTCTCAAAATATACGACCTGAAAGCCAGTTTTTTATGCACTTCTGATAACTATCTGCTAAGAAGACTTTGTGCATGGTTTATTCGACTGGAAAGTGGAAAACATTGAAATGTGTGTGATGTTCTCTTGACTTTTATATGCTGTGGTCTCTTCAACTTTTGGTCTCATTTGTTGTAATCTGAAATGATACTGTTGCCTTGTTATAACAATGGTTATGTGACTACAGATAGACATTTACAGAAGAATGTACCATAAGTATATAATTAGAAGAACAGTGGCTTAATATATCTATGGGAAGTTTATGGAGAATGAAGTTGGCATTTTTCTACCCACTGAGCTTGGTTCTTAATAAGCATATGAGGGTGAATGTGTAGTATCTCCTAATTATGAGGACTGCATGAGAATTTAAAAGTACATGTAAGTAAAATAGTTGAAAAATCAGTATGTTCTCTGTTTTTAAAATGTCAAAGTTTATGTCAGGGTTAATTTAGTTATAACAAAGTCATCATAAATGATGAAATTTAATAAATATAGTATGATCAGCCTATGTGAGACTACGTTTTGATTTTTTGTGTGGCATGCAGATATCATAAAACTATAGTGCAGTTTTTAGCGTGTTTTAATTGCATTCTGAAACCAATGGTGAAAAGTAATTTCACTGAGTGTACCTTTTCAATGCCTGAGTAGCATAAAGGATCTTAATTATGAGATTTTCTTTTATCTTTCTTTATAAAATATGGGATTTTTTTGGTTGAAAGTTTTGGTGTCTTTAATTTCAGATTTTGCCTTAGAACAGCAAAACCTAGGTTGACTGACTCAGGAAACAGTTGTCTGCTAGTCAAGCATAAATGTATAGTCATATGTTCACTCTTCTTAAATACCTGCTTTTGTAAAAGAAATGTAAAATAATTTCAGTCTAGCCAATGATGAACTCTAGAATCCACTTAGTGAGTATGTGCTGTTCCTCTAAACTTTGCCCTGAAGCCAGGGATCTTCTCCTAATATATGTGACATGAAAATCCATGTTCCATGTACTCTAATTAACTATCTGATAAGGAATTTTGTATGTATTCTTTCTGACTGGGGAGTGGAAAACATCTAAGCTTGTGTGGTGTTGGTTCAATAATTGCCATGCATGACCTGTAAGAGCAGCAGCTCACAGAATCCTAAAGAATCACATGAGAAACAGGCCTTGTGTCTTGTGAGTCTTCTCAGACCTAAGGTGGTAAAGTAGATGGCACAGGATGGCATGTGATCAAGCATGGAGGTGATAAGGAAACAACTGCTACTCTATGCCCATCATTTCCTATGCATGTCTGTAACGGCACAGTGTAATGTGAAGCACTTTCAGAATATGTTTATGTGTGTTTGTATGCTGAGTGTGTTCTTTTCATCCTCTCACTTCACAGTTCATTTACTGTCAATTTAAAACTTTCCTCTTGTAAAAAGGTATGAGTTTGGTGCCATTATGATCTACTTGTGGCACTAGATTATGTACTTGTGAAGTAGATTCTGCCTGTACCCATTATCTATATGCAGCCACTTGAAGAAAAAAACATGAGATAAGCTTGGTCCTTGAGTTTAAATGACATATTTAGCTGGGCACATAAAGAGCTAGTCAATCTTTTTTTTATTTTTCAATTGATGACTGGGGAGTGGAAAACATCTAAGCTTGTGTGGTGTTGGTTCAATAATTGCTGCTTATTTTTCCTTTCTACGTGGATTTTATAGTCGGTTTCCTTTATTTTCTACTTTAGTTGGCCCTAGATAATATGAACAGCAATTACCTGCCTGGTAGGGCCCAGTGTTTTCCAAGGTAATAGGAACTGATACAAAATAATTACTCGACCGACCACGCAATTTGACAGACCTTTTAACCTACCCTTACTTTGCTTTCCCCATATTCAAAATAAAATGGTAAATCTTTTTAATGCTTTTTGAAAAAAGACTTTTTTTTTTTGCATTAAAAAGTAGTTTAATAAGTGCTAGCTAGCATCAAAACAGTGACAGATTTGAGTCATGAAATTACCTAAAAACAAGAGTTACCAGACATTTCTCAAATATATAGCAATATTGAATGATAACCATATAGCATTTTGTGAAACTAATTTTAAGATATATGGAATTGAAAAGCTAAGAATACAAATGGAATTATACATGTTCCAAAAACTATATTATCAAAAATTTCTTCTTTTTGGGTCTAAACTTTCCTTAACTTTGACATTTTATAGGAAAGTGGCCTTTAGAATTCAAGATTTTAAGTTGAGATGAGAGCATGGTAAATTAGAATTTCCAGAGAAAGAATGATTCTATTCTACAAATACATTATCTTGCATTTAAAAATGCTAGGGAGATACAAAGCCATTCAAATGAACTAGTTTGCTTTGGTTTATAGAACCAACAGAGATGTTGCAAGTTCACTTTAACTAATAAACTCATTTACACAACTTAAGAAATGAATTTCTCTTGAAACCAGGGCCATATGGTATTTTATCATATCCTAAAATAGAATTTTTTTGGAAATTTCTATTTAGTTGAGTGCTAAAGTGAAACTTTGTTAAATAGCTTTTTCTTTACTCAGTGAAACGTAGTAAAAGGCTTGTAATTCAATTTGCTTTGTAAGCATAGTTATCTTTTGTAATAAAAAATTAGATCTGAAGATGAATTGATGAATACAAGTTGTGCTCAAAGCACATAGTAGAACAGGGTGGGGGGATTTCCGTGTGTGTGTGTGTGTGTGTGTGTGTGTGTGTGTGTGTGTGTGTGTTTGTGTATATATATATATATATATATTCCCTGGAGTAATTGTTATTCAGATTTGTGATTAACAAAATGATATTTAGCTTCTGACAATGATTAATGACAAAAGAATTATTAATACTCTGGTGTAATCTTTGTAAATGTTACGACTGGTGCAGCTTTCTATAGATTTTTTCTTATTGTGGAAAATATTTGTTCAATTCCTATCATCCACAGATTTGTAAAGGCCATGAAAAAGTTTAAGTTGCACAGCTCTCACAAGGACAAAACTGTGTCAGATTTATATAAAAGAGAACTATTAGCTGTTTCAGAATGAATGGAGAAAAATAATTCATTCTCTTTGATATGCTTTTCTTGATTGGCACATCCTTTTTGAATATTGCTAAGTATACCTGGATCATTTTCTTCAACTTGTAAACAAAACCACCACTAAATATTTTCCTTTACTTAGAAGGATCCCTTTGGAATTTTGGTAATTTATTGATATGATTAATATAGAACTCTTTTTGGTCTGTTTTTGAGTAAAAAAACATTTTTATAAGTTAATTTAGACATCACTGTTTGATTCCAAGACTGAGAAGACTTGGCCCTGCTCAGGATTTCCAGGTTTGCCCTGTAGGTATTTTTTCACACTGAGCTGAGTCTTTCCATCCAGGAAAGGGATTTTCTTGATCAGCAGTTTTTGTTTTACTCCATTCCTTCCCAATCCTTGCTTGGTCTCTTCATTCTGCTATCAGTACCAAAAGGATTTCTGCTTTAAAGAAAAGGCATTTCCATAATGTGGGCATTTTAAGTCAGCTACACCAAATAGCAAGCATGCTAATCTTTACCCAAAAAGAAAGGACGTTATAGTCAAGGTTTCCATTTTGACACTGCTCAATACTAGGAAGAACCCACACTAAAGCTTAGTGACACCATCAGGTAACCACTGGGAGACCATTTTTGCTGGCTACCTGCTATCTGCCTTCCCTTACTTCTGTCATCCCTGCTTTCCTAATCACAATCCCACCTTTAAGCACCCAACCAAAATAATATCCTTTCTGTGAAACTTAACCTTCTCAAGGAGAGATGCTGTGGAGAAAAATCAATAGGGAATGGTGGTGGTCACGATGGTAGTACAACTTTAACAAGGATGGTGGCAGAAGGCTTCCCTTGGGAGGAAGGGAAGAGGCTTGCCATGCAGATATCTGAGTGAGTGTTGCAGGCTGAGGGAATGGTAAGTGCAAAGGCCCCAGGGTGGAGGCTGCCGTTCAGAGAACAGCAAGGAGGGCAGTGTGGATGGCATAGTAAGCAGGAGTGGGTAACAGAAAGGATGTGGCAGGAGAGGACACATACAGGGAAGGACTTTGGATTTCACTTTCAGATGGAAGCATTTGAAGGGCTGCGAATCAAGTGATGACCTGATTTGTGACTTAGGTTTTACCAAAACCACTCTGTGTGTTTGAGAAAGGGCTATAGAGGGACAACAAGCAAAGCAAGGAAACAAGGTAGAAGCTAAATTTGGTAAACTGTGCGAGGCATGATGGTGGCTAGGATTGCAGTAGCACTGTAGGCTATGGTGAGAGGTGGCCAGATGCTGGGCATATTTTGAAGGTAGAATCAATATGATTGATATTTGAGAAAAGAGTGTGCTTAAAGACTTTATGGAGGAAGTAGAAGTCTTTGGGAAGATTGGATTTGTGAACAAAATCAAGAAAACAGTTTTGGACAGGAAAGTAAGTAGAGGTGTAGGAGAGATGGCTGCACACAAGTCTGGAGTTCAGAGAAGAGGTCAGAGCTGTAGACGTAAATGTGGGAGTCATCAGAATATAATGTAAAACCAAGATTTCTTTAGGAGGCAGAAAACTTACAAACATGGGACAGTAAAAATTTTTTTTAAAGGCACTTCTCTCCATCCCCTTGCCATTGTTACCATGAGAGGTGAGACAGGACCAGGGTATTGTGCTGTAGGGACAGTTTTCTAGAGCAAACATGAGAACAGCTTGCCACCTAGGGATCTACTGAGACCTTTGGACATTGTAACTCCTGTGACTGGGAGGAGAAGCCATCGCTCTTGCAGGAAGATACACTCTGGTGCAGCTTGTCATTCGGGTGACTTAGTGAGTTCCAGGGTCATGTTGTCTCAGAGTGTCTTTCTGCATCGGACACTGGCTGGGCGGTAAAAATGCTCTATTGGATAGGACAGAATCTGTGTGCCCTCAGGGAGCTGAAATCTAGCAGGATAAATACATGTAAGACAAACATTTCATGACATATTGGTGACTATTCCGAAGGAAAATGCTGGGGTAGGGGTTAGGAATGACTTGTGAGAAAGACATTCAAGTGGAGACAGGATGAGTAGGAAACATGCAAGTAAATCAGCAGATGTTATTCGATAATGAGTGACAGGCATTTTGAGAAATGGACAGTGTGGGCCGGGCTGTACCTATACAGGCCCTCGAATTATAATTTTAAACTGCACCCAAATGAACTAATCACTTCTGCTGGCCCATTAGTTGAGGGGAAGAAGGGTGTCTACAGAGAAGAGAGACCCTGAACTTCATTTGTGTGTTCTGTTGTGCATCCTTGACAGCACCTGGCACAGAATCTTGGTTAGCTAAGATGGATGAAATGCAAGTACTCAGGCCCTTTGAACTAGGAGTTTTGCCTAAACTGTCCTTAACAGTTGGTGAATTCCTTTGGGGCAGCACTGTCACAAGTATACTCCTTACACTCCAAAGTTTTCTCTCCTGGATCAAACACTTAATACTGACTTTTCAGTATTGTTGAAAGAAGATGAATTTCTCAGTGATTGTTGAAGAGAGATACACATTGGTATCTGAAGCTAAAATATTAGTGGTTTAAAAAGAAGCACAACTTACCTCAATTCCTTAAGTGTTTTGTTTTATTTATTTATTTATTTATTTATAACAATTGCAAGCTGCATAAGTTGAAACTTGCCTTGTATTAGAATGCCCTAGACCCCTGGTTCTCAAAATGTGATTCTCAGTAGCCTCAGCATTCATTACCTGGGAACTTGTCAGGCAGATTCTTGGGTCCCCCTACCTTGCCCCCAGACATGCAGAATCAGAAACTTGGGATGGATCTCAGTGATGGGGATTTCAACAAGTGCTGATGCACACTAAAGATTGGGAACCATTGCCTTGCACTTACCTGTTCACATATACACAGAATGAAAGTGATCCAGAGAAGTTCACCTATAACTTTCCCCTAATTAAAAAAAACTACAGTATAGCTATTCCAAATAGACTGATGAGAAGGCCTTGTTTCAGTTTTTAGAAAATTATTTACCTTTTGTTCTCTTCAATAATTGTTACTATTCTTCAAGATAAATCTTAGACGCAGAGCAATATTACCTTTCCTGTACGAACCTCTGAGTGACTGGTGTTTGAACAGGCCAGCAAGCATGTTGTACCTCCTTCACACTGACTTGGGTTGATTAATAAAGATTCTCCCAGGAGATTTTTAATTGATGCATGAGTCATGAGCAGTGAGACAAGTGGAACTGCAAGAATAATGTAATGTATCGTATCTTAACAGCGATTTGGTCTTTGATTTTCTCAGCAGTTAATTGAATCAGGTGGAGAGAGAAGCCAGTTCACGATTTAGTAAGGGAAGCTAGCCATCCAGATGGTTAGTGTATGTGAATCAGCTTGTAAAATTTTACTTTGCTGAGAGTCCCCCAAATCTAGGAAGTGCTAAAACATCTGACAGAATTGGTTAATGTGCAACTTTGCCTTTGCAAATACAGAAGCATTTGTTGAGGCACCTGTTTCTATTACAAAGCCACAGCTGAACTCTGTACAGGTGGTATTCAGGAACATCTCATTTAGCTTTTAAAATGAAAAAATTGAGTTATTAAGCTGAAGTTATTCTGGGATTTCCGCAAAGCTCAACACACACTAAAAAGGCTATTATAATTTTTTTCCTAATAGAATACATCAGGATGACTGAATTCATCAGTCAGAATTACTGGGGAAGGGGACAGTTGGAAAAGTGACTTTGAAACAGGCACAGGTCACAGCATGTTTGTTTTTGTTTCTTATGAAGCAATTTTAAGAACTACACTTTCTGAGAACTGTCAAAGATCTATCCTTTCTCAGAAGAATATGTGCAACTTACTTTTGTTTTGCAGACAACCTACAAAGCAAACCCGCTCCCCTAACCTGTCCCCTCTGTATGGACACCATCTGCTGGCTCCTCTCAGCAGCCCTCAGCTGTCACCACCTCTTTAATGGCCTCCCGTTTCCCTATCCACATTTACCCAGGAATCTTCTCAGTGATGGCTTCCGGCCAGCGGCATCAATTCCCCAGTCTACCACTTAAACCACATTGCAAGTTCTTCATGCTATGTTATCTTGGATATACTACCTTGGCTTGTCTCCTGAGCAAGGGGCTATCCATTGCATCTGTGTGTCTCCAGCAACACTCAAGCCAGCACTGAACAATTAGTCACAATAACCTTAGTGTATAACATTCACCAAGCATGCCTTAAATGATTTACCTCTATACATTTAATTCCAACAAATCTGTATGGTAGCTAGCATTATTATCCCTACCACCTACAAATAAGAAAATTATAGAATCCATTTAATTTCTGTGTAATTCAGTGTTAGTAAGTGCAGGAAGTGGATTTGACTCATCCAGCAATCAACCATGATTCCATAGCCTATCTATTACCCTAGAAGTCACCTGAAGCAAATATTTTTATCTGATTTAGGAAAATATGACTTTTTCTAGACAGAGTTAATGTAGCATTCCTCTCCTGTTTGTTTTCGTGTCAGCCTGACATGAGTTGATGGCTGGGGCTCTACTGAGTTCGTTTCCTTGCCTAGTCTCCAGTTACCCTTCTGTGCCATCATCTTAAAGGGCATTTCCTTTCTCCAAGATGGGAATAATCATAGTATCTACTTCCTAGGGCTACTGTAAGAATAGAAGAATGAAAACATTCTCAAAACGGTGTTTTGTATATAATTCGGTAAATGGTAGTCATTATTATTAACCTTATTTTGTGGAGGAAGTGACTGGGTCTCAAGAGCATTAGGCAATTTTCTCAAAATCGCAGTGCAAGGGGTAGAACCAGATCTTGAGCCCAGGGCTCTTCCCATCACTGCTTCCAGCAGCCATGTGATGCAGGTATGGCCACTGATGGACCTCATCACATTTCTTCAGGTTACTAGTCTTCCAGAATTACATCCCAGTATCAATTCCGTGGCTGTGTATTTCACTCCTTCCCAAAGGGTTAATTAGCATACTGCAGAATGTATGCTGGTCCTAAGTGGGACTCCTTCAATTTTTAGTGCCTGCAGATTTCATAGCAGAGCCTGTTGCTAGTAGTAAGTAATGTGATCTGCTTTGGAGAAGTAAGAATCAATGGCTACTCCATGTACAGGTGAATGCTTAAAAGCCTCTTCCTTCATGCATTCTTTTGGTAAACCACCTAAGTCACACTCCTCTGCTAAGAATTTTACGTGATAATAGTACTGTTTGTGCTGCCACACAAGCTCCTAAGGAAATTCTATGTTCACTTCTACTTCAGTTCTGGGGAAAGTTTTCCCTTTATCCTTCTCCCCATGCAAGGTATAAAGATCTCCCATCCTGTGTTCATGGGGCTTAAGTTTGGAGTTGCTGAAAGGTAGGGAGTCCAAAGGCATTAGAAACATCCATACTTAGGGCAGCCCAGCACTGAGTCCCTTCTATTCCGCTCCTTTACCCATACAATGGAATATCCTTTTCTGCTTTGCACCCTCAATTCCTTTCTCTTATTGCAGCCGCCCTCACTGCAGCCCCTTTCTTGAGCTCCAACCTTATATTTTGAGTAACAGAAGAAGTGATCTGCAAGTGGGCATGTTTTAGTTCACACTTAGCTCAGCAGTTTCTTAGACTCCTTTTCAGCTTGTTTGAGGGTTGAAAGAACAAAAATGACATTTGGATGCTAGTGAGATGCAAAGAAAACAGAAATACACAGAAAACCAGCAGAGGCATTAATAGGGAAATAACCCTGCCTTGATAAGTATCTCATTAATAAGATTGTTGGGAGAGTACTCTCATTTCTTTTAGAAGAATTATTTGTAGTTTGTAAATTTAGAAATTCAAAAACCTAACATTTTTCTCTCCAAGCTCATATGTACACACACACACACACACACACACACACACACACACACACACACACACATATTTTCTCCTGCTCCATCATCACTGACTAAACAAATGTACTATCTGGTGTCTGTTTCTTTAGATAATGGGATGGTTATTTTAAAATCTATTTGAGCTGAGGTCCATCAGTTACCTCTTCTGAGTCATTAATCTTTGAGACAAGGCTTGTTGCAAGCAAACTAACTGCAGCTTTGTCCCTGAGAGTTAAGTGTGTGTCAATAATAAAATTCTAAGTGAAATTATAATTAATGCACATCCAGGTACTGAGATTTAGCAGTGCTTGATATACTTGGTAAGTACTTTAGCTTTTAAAGCTCACTTGTTGGAAGCTGGTTTAAATACTTTTTAAGCCATTGTGGAGAGAAAAGCCACTTGATCACTTTCAGCATATTAGAGGAGTTTTCAATATATTGGCAATTTGAAATCTTGTTTGGCTGGAATTTAACCATGACGATAGGAACTTGGCTTTTGTGAAGATAATTAAACCATTCTGATGGTTTCTTTGTTTTTAGCTAAAATCAACTTTGTCTTTTTTGGCAAAAGGTCAAACATCTTTTTTTCATTTTGCTATTTTTTTCCTCTTTCAGCTCTCAGATTTCATCTTTAGGAGAATCTGAAGAGAAACTTTGGGAAGAGA